TGGAACTGTTCACTTAAGTTTTGTGTGTTTCACCATGTGCAATATGGTGAAAAATATTTACCCCAATAAAAAAATTATAGAAGTGAAAACAATGTAACACTTCTTGTAGCGAAGGCTTAGTCCTCTAAAACTGTCTGTAGATCCCAATCTGAGACACAGCTGTTCTTGCCTGACTGGGAGGCAGTGCTCCAGGGAGAAAGGTCTCTGGTTCTGAGTCAACTTTTTGACAAGTCCAGTGCAACAGTGGCCTTGGCATCGTAGCCCCTGGTGGCTGGAGAGGAGGTGTGTTGGAGGTACAGGGGAGGCTGGGAAACCCAAGGCAGGGCATTTAGAAAGGGGACAAGGGACAGGAGACGAGGCCCATCCCTGTGTCTGGATTCTGGTTCTGTTGTCCAGGAGCCCTAGGAGGTTTGTAGGGGTGAGGTGGAAAAATCAGACTTCAACCTAGAACCTAGTGGTCAAGAGGCTTGGGGTAGGTCCATCCCCATCTGTGGCATCTGGTGACAGTGATCCTGTCTCACTGTGTCTCATTGCCCCTTTTGCCCTTAAAATCCACATGCCTTAGTTGAAACCACCAATCTTGTGGCTTTTTGCCTTGTATTAGCTGAATAATTGAGATTTCATAGCAACACCTGAAACCTCTTGGGAAATTTTTACTTTGTCTTCATATCCTTGTGCATCCTCAATGAAAAATAAAACTTTCCTTCTCCCATTTATATGGGTAAATAAGCCATTGATAACTATGAGCGAGGCTTTAGAATTCCTCTAGTGATAGGAATGTTGCCAGGCTTGGTGTTTCCTGGGCTTTCTGAGAGGGTGAGTGAGCTTCTGTTTCCCTGCCGTGGGAGTGTTTGCTCATAGCTTGGTAGAGCTGTTTCTCTGGGGGAAAAGCAGAGGTGACCACATCGAACACACAGTTGGGTTTTTGGGTTGTGTGCATGTGATAGCGTGAGGGTGACTAATCTCCACAGTGTGGAAACCATTGTGTCACGTTTGGAACATAACACAGTGGTCCTCAGCACGCTCTGTGGTTACTTCCACACTTTCCTGCTCTAGCTTGGGTATGGAAGTTCCTGGGTGGGCTCTGTGATCATTAGGGGTAGGTTACTTTACCCCTATTGGTTACTGTAATTAGAGGTGTGAGTGTGTGGGGCCCTGATGCTTCCATTTCTCATCAGAATTGCATAGAGATTATTATGAACATTTACTTAGGACAGTGCCTCTCGGATTTTACCTCCCAGGGATTCCTTCTGGGAAATAAAAAGCAAAGGTTCAACCTAGCCCTCCAAAGCAGCTCACTGTAAGTGATGCCTCTTTGAAGCCTCATGTTTTATCTTAGATCGTGGAGATTTTTCTTTCTGCTTCATAATATAGCCATGTTTGCTCTAATAGAAAAATAACTCCCCCGAGAAAATCTATGGGTGAAATTAGTAACCTAGGGAGATAGACTTCAGGCTCTCCGGCTGTCTGTAGCTTCTCCCTGGGAATTTGTGGATTCTAAACCAGGGCTTGGGTAAGTATGGATGTCTAAATCAACAATGAACATATTGGCCCCCAACAGAAGCCCCCCTTCCAGGAAATACTGTCTTTTCCATAAGTGTGTGGTTCTATGGCTTTGTAAGTTCCTTTTATCTTCTCTTTCAAACTGACATTTTTGTTTTTAACAATGATGGGGACTTTTTAAGGACTGTCTGAATTCTTATAGCAAAGGAATAACACAGGAGGTCAAGGCTGCAGTGAGCTGTCATCACACCACTGCACTCCAGCCTGGGCAACAGAGCAAGACCCTGTCTCAACAAACAAACAAACAAACAAACAAAGGGTAACAGGAGAACATCATAATTATGGGCTTGGTTTCAGTACTGTAACACATTCCCCGTACAAGTTTCCACCGATTTTCAGTAGAACACATGGGCTCTGACATTTGATGAGCTAAAGAACCTGCTTTAGCTCTTGTTTTTTCAGGACTCATCCATGGCCACTTCTCAGTTATGGCAAATAAGTTGGAGCCTAATTTTCTGAGTATTTCTCCATTACATCAGATCTACACATATGCACATATTGGTTAATATTAGGGATGAGAGGCTGTATTAAATGATGCTGTAAATGCATTTACTCATCACTGCATGGGAAGGTAGAAGAGTGTGTTGCTATCAGGTGGAAATGTAGAAAGTGCAGTGAGGATTTTCTTGTAAATCTCAGATTTGGGGCTTGGCTATGTCAGGTCCCTGGAAGAAGGAGGAGTCACCTACTGCTGTCTCTTCTCTCCTCTTGGGCCTCTGTAGAGGTTTGGCCCTGTGCCTTGGAGGGCTCTGCTCTTGCAGCTTGGACAGACACATCCCTCAGCATGGCAAGAAGTGTGGAAGGTCAAGAGGATGTGTCCACTTGGCCTAATCCTAATCCACCAGCACCCCTGTTCTTAATCATGTCCCTCATGTACCTGGGACCCCTGAATTCCCTCCCCAAACACCCTGGGCCCTAATTCCAGGGCCTGTGTGGTCATTCCCATGGACTCTACTGCCTGGTTCATAGACTGGCCAGGGCTGTACAGAGCGGGATAGACACAGGTAGACTTTGGCGTGTACATGCTCAGGGCCCCTCCCAATAGGAAAGGCTGGAGACAGAGGAATGGAGATTAACGTAGCTCGACACAGCAGGAGCCGCGCGGTGGGACTGCTGTGTGCAGGTCTCATGGTGAGGACAGCGCAGCCTGTGTTTGGACAGACATGGAATGCCAGGTGCCAGTATGAGCTTCCCCCAGCTCTGGGCACCTCTGCTGCCGCTGTTCCCAGAAGTGAACCTCCAGGAGATTCTGATACGATCGGGGGTGCTTCTGCTGTGTGCCATCTTGCCTGTGCCGAGCTTCTATCCTAGAAGGCAGGGCTCACAATGTGGGGGAATTCCTCTGAATAAGAATGGAATTCCTCAACATTGTGGGAAATTCCTCAAGAAAAAGAAGCTGTTTAATAAATGCACTGTGGCTACAGAGCAGGAAAAATGCCTCCTTCCCCTGCACTAGGCCTAGGCCTTGAGGAAGAAACCTGGGTTCCTGTGACAGCCCCTCTCTCCCCAGCTGCCACTTTTCCCGTGCGTGCCCTGGGTATGAAATTCCTTGCAGAGGGACAGGAAGGCGTTGTTGGATGAAGTCAGTATTTCCTGGAAGGGGGGCTTCTGTTGGGGGCCAATATGTTCATTGTTAATTCTTGTACTTAATTTCTACTTTTGTAATTTGTTTCACATTACAGTTTCTCCTTCTGGGACTAGTGGGAAATTACTTTATGCCACAAATATGCATTTTCATTTTATCTTTAATCAACAAATAACTTTTTGTGTGTGTTGCACGTGCTGCTGTAGTCATGTTGTGATACGCCAGTGTTTCCAAATACGTCACGATCACCAAACAGCCATGGGGGCCGTATTCGGGAAGATCTTCACAATCGCAAGCTTTTGGATGTGATTGTCACATAAAGCCGTGGTGTGCTGCAGTGAATGGACAAGGCCTCCGGAAGTGGGGATGACCAGCCTAGGCCTCGGGTCACCCTAGGATCTGGCTGACTCCCTGGGTCTGGACATCAGCATCTGAGCACTCCCCGCTGTCGTTCTTGGAAGTTGCTATGGAGAGGATGTTAGCCAGTCCGGGGATTTCACACATAACACAGGCATCCTTGCTTGAAGGCTAAACAGGGGGAACCGTATGCTGTGGCTTATTAATGTATTCAGTAAGTTAATCCTTTTCTCTTTCTTGTTTTATTTTATGTGGAAAATTCAATCTGAAAAATAACACAGTGGCATACACACATCTGTGACTTTTTATTTTTACTGGTATTTTCTAAAGATACGTTTTGAATGTTACTATAAGTCATTTTAAAAAAATTACAATGGACTTTGATTAACTAGTTCTGAATAAGGGAGGTTTCTTTACCTAGTATGCCTTCTGGCAGTAACATTTCTTAGTCTGTAGTCCTATTCCTGTAGTTCCCTCTCCTTGGGGTCATCCCCACCCCTCAACTCTTTCGACAACCATCTGGGTGTGAACTCTTTATCTAACTCCTTATGTAGGATTCTACCCTCTCTTATATGATTCTGGCCATCTCCAGACCCCAGTGACGGTTCCCCTTGCAATCCTATTCTCTGACCCACATCTAGTACCCTTATTCCATCCTTTCTCTTCTTTGATTCTAGGCTGGGTTTTCATCCCTGTATGTCTCATGCAAAAATGGTGGGTGGGTAGGTAGGTAGGTGGATTCCTTCCCTCCTTCTCTCTCTCCCTCCTTCCTTTCTTCTATAAGTATTTATTGAGCTCTTATGACAGACGTGCAAGATGTGTAGGATGGGCCTCCTCATGGGTGTGGGAGTCGGGAGGGTCTGCTCTGCACTGCTTTCTTCCCTGTGTTTAATCAAAATAGCTTGTGGTTGTCAAGCTCTTAGTATTCTTTTCTCCCTGTGATATGATTTCCTGAAAGTATCTTGTCCCCAAGGATTATGGAACATACACTTGTTAAACATTGGACTCATTTTCATGATCATTTCATGATCATTTAAATGTCATGACCTTTCTGACACCTTGATATGGTTTAGCTCTGTATCTCCACCCAGATCTCATCTCAAATTATAATCCCCACGTGTCCAGGAGGGACCTGGTGGGAGGTGATTAGATCATGGGGGCTGTTTCCCCTATGCTGTTCTCATGATAGTGAGTGAATTCTCATGAGATCTGATGGTTTTAAAGTGTTTGGCATTTCCCCCGTTGCTCTCTCTCCTGCTGCCATGTAAGATGTGCCTGCTTCCACTTCCACCATGATTGTAAGTTTCCTGAGGCTTCCCCAGCCATGTGGAACTGTGAGTCAATTAAATCCTCTTTCCTTTATAAATTACCCAGTCTCAGGTTTCTTTATAGCAGTGTGAAAATGGACTAATACACACCTCTTGAGAGCCTCACAGCAATTGGTGCCTTTGGACCTCTTCATTCACACTTCACTCATGTGTTTTTCCTTCCCCAGGTAGACGCACCCTCTGAAGATGGTGACTCCCTCCTGAGAAGCTGGACCCCTTGGTAAAAGACAAGGCCTTCTCCAAGGTAACAGGGCTGTGTCACCCCAGGGTCCCACGGACGGCGTTTTCTCACACATAGCTGAACTCCTCCACACTCAGATCCAGGGGCCCTAGACGATCTCCCATTGTATGCAAAAATATTTTATTTCTGTTGACACATTAGTCTTTGGGGCAGCTTGATGGTTTTATTAAATTTTGGAAAGAGGCTTCAGCCCCAGTAAGAGTCAATGCCTGTCCGCTTTCCCAGGTCACCTTGGCTGTGCTACAGTAAAATGGTGGGTTCCAGTGCTGTGTCCAAGCTCTCCCAATTTCAGCCCCTTCCAGGCCTTGCTGTCCATTTTCACTCCACTGTCACTGCATGTTCAAATTCTTGCTTTCTGCTTGAGTCAGTACTGCTCACCTCGTCCCAGGAGACCTGGGTCTATGATGCTGTGGGTGACACCCTCTGAGCATCTTTTCCGAGCTGTCTGTGGGTACCTAAACCTGCCCCCCAACCTGGCCCTTGCCCTCCCTGCCCCGACCTCAGTGAGTCTGGCCCAGTCCATCCCTGATTCTCCCCTTTGGCCCCGAGCATTCTCAAATATGCCCCTGCCTGCCTCTCTGTCACTGCAGCTGGCCCAGCCCTCATCCTCTCTCCCATGAACCTCTGTGGTGGCCTGCTCTCCCTGGCTCCCCTGTCTCCACACAGGTGCCAAAATGTCTGCAAAAAATGGAGATCTAACATACATTGGCCCATGGCTTAAAACCTGTACACGCTTCTCTGCCACCTGCAAATGACAGTCCCAGTTCCTCATCAAACCTCCGCATGTTGTGGGAACCTGGGGCTTCTCAGCCTCCCCCTCAGAACCCACCTCTGGTTTATGCTCCAGAACATGATGTTGTTGGACCCTCCCCTCTGCCTCCTCCAGGCTGAGTTAGCCTCTGTCTCCCCTTCTGCCCTGGGCATGGCTTTTCTGGTAGACACCCCCACATCACTGTCTAACTCTGTGTCCATATTCCCTGTGACTGCTGAGCTCCTGGAGCCAGGCCGTGGGACTCTTGTTCCTATTTTTGTTCCCAGAGCCAAATAGATATTTGATGTATGATTGTTGAATGCAGCAGTAAGTGAATAAAGACATGAATGGTTAACTGAAAACATTCTATCAAAACTGTTATTTGTCATCAGAGCATGGGCTGATTTCCAATAGCTAAGATTTGGGAGTGACCATTTGCCAGGCACTGTTCTAAGCTCTTTGCATGTGGCCATTGATTTCACCCACATAGCGCCATCAGTGACATGCTGTCACTGCATTGCTTGTCAAAAGGGGGAACTGGGGCATGGAGGCTGAGCTTTTACTCAATGTGCCATCTATGTTGAGGCACTTCTGACTTGTATGACCATTCAACTGTGAGCACTATGGAGGCCAGTCAGCCTGGCCCTGCCTTGGAATTTCTGTTATTCAGGGGCATAATGGGGTTTGCGTTGATTTTTGTTGGGAGTGTGTGGGTTAATCTAGGTACAACCCTCATCTCCTTCCTTTCTGATGTCCTCACTCCCTTTGGTCATGTGACCCTTAACGCCCATTCCCAAGCTCAGTGCTGACTCCTTGCCCCAAGGTTCTGGGGATCAACATGGATCCCACAAGCCTGCTCCTGAGAGGACAGGGCCACTCCCACCCCCTCCTGACTGTTTCCCAGAGCAGCTCTGGGGCAGAAGTAAACTTGGACCCAGGGGTCATGGCCCTTTGTCCTTTTATCGTCTATTAGAGGAGGATGAGGTCCAACTTCAGCTGGTTCATTACCCCTTGTGCAAATGAGCACACTGTGGCCCAGGGAGAGTTGCGTCCAATATCACCCTGCCTTGTGGTACAGGTCACCCACCTCGGACCTGTGATTAAACATTGTCCACAATTAATTTGGAATTATTATCTCATGATACACTCCATAAAGTTCAGTCACACGCCTTCTTTTTCTTCTCCCTTGCCTAATGATCAGACAAGCCAGATCTTGTAACTGAATGAACCGACAGCTGGCAGTGTTCAGCTGATTTTGCAATGCCCTTATTTTGTTGTTGATAAACTAATGCAAATAGCTGGTTGGCCTGGAACTGGTGATTGGGAAACATTTTAACCCTTCTTTCCTTCCTCTCTATCATAAAGACTTAAAACACACTTCATGCAGTCACAGAAAGAGCTCATAGACCAGGCTGCAGGGCTTCAAAGGCTTCTATCTTATTTAGTCATCTGAAAATAGTTTAAAGGTAAATATGGTAATAATACTCATATTCTAGACTATTTTGGGAAGCCAGCAATGTAAATAAAGGGTCAGAGTTAAAAGATATTGAAGGAATGCAGTTTTGCTGCTCTGAGGTAGGTTTCAAGGCTTGAACCAGGCTTAGGGATCATCATCCTGATACTGAGGGTAAAGTGAAGAGAATATGAATGGGTATATCTCGCATGGTTAGATAATCTTTTTTTTTTTTTCCCCTGCATTTGTTTTAAAAAGCATGTTGTAACTTAAAAAAATACCTATACACCTTCTTTTTTTTTTTTAGATGAAGTCTCGCTCTGGCACCCAGGCTGGAGTGCAGTGGCATGATCTTGGCTCACTGCAACCCCCGCCTCCTGGGTTCAAGCAATTCTCCTACCTCAGCCTCCCAAGTGGCTGGAATTACAGGCATGCACCACCACACCGAGCTAATTTTTGTACTTTTGGTAGAGATGGAGTTTCACCATGTTGGCTAGGCTTGTCTTGGAAGTCCTGGCCTCAAGTGATCTGCCTGCCTTGGGCTCCCAAAGTACTGGGATTACAGAGCTTAGCCACCATGCCCGGCCACAATACATCTTCTTAAATAGGACATTTTCCAGCTAATATTTAAATAACTGCATGTCATTAGAATCTGAATGAGTGTTGTGTTAAAATATTTTGTGTTTTCATATTTATTTACTTACTTATAGCTACAGATAAGAATATAGGCAAATTTAATCTCCCGTAAAAATTAAGAGGCAGATGTTTTCAAAGCACAGAATTACATGGTCTACTCTAGACATTGCTCCTAAGGTTGAGCAGAGGGGATAAGAGTTTTTTTCTCTTTTGTCCTTTCCTCTTTTTTTCATACAAAGTTCATTGTAGATATTTTAGAAAGTATAGAAAACCCCGACAAGGGGAAACCCACCCAACCCAATTTTAATTGTTTTTATCATTTCTTTTAGGTTTTTTGGGTGAATTTCTATGTAGCTATATCCTATCGTACAAGCAATTCAGTATCTTGCAATATAAAATGAAGGCATGACCTTTGAACTGGCCAAAAGTGTGGGTTGATTTTTGCAAATGGGTCCTGACAGCAGGGGACATAAGTGGGGAACAAATCCTCACACAAACGGAGGCGAACTGGTTTAGGGGCGAGTGCATAGCTGACTTTGGATGTAAACTAGATTTGGGGAAATTTAAATGGGATGTAAGACTGGAAATGTATAATGGGACAGAAGGTAGAAATGTTTAAAATCTTAAGTTGTTGAGTTTGTTCTCAATTTTGTGAAAACTCTTTATCCCTTTTCGTTCCCCATCCCATTTTTTAACCAAAAGTCAAACATGATAACATTCATGATGTAGAAAAACCAATTCATCAGTTTGTCTTGGCGGTGAGGGTGGGGACAGGGATGGTGTCGGTATATTTAGTTTTAGAGATTTGCTGCAAAAGTAACATTTTTGCTTTTGTCTTTCTTCCATTCCTCCATTTCTCCAGGAGAATATGAAAGTGTTACTCCGACTTATTTGTTTCATTGCTCTACTGATTTCTTTTCTGGAGGCTGGTAAGTTAAGTATTTCTTTGTGTTCTTGTCTGCTAAGAAAATCTGTTATTTAGAATACATGAAGTGCCTTCCCTAACAGTCATTTCTCATACTCATTTCTGTTGAATCCCTGGGCACAGAGCCTCCTGGTCATAGACCTGTATCGCTGGAAGTTCCTTTCAGCATCTTCCTCTCATTCTCTCACATAGAGAGTGGGAAACTGAGGCCCAGTGAGGTTAAGAGCCCAAGGTCATGTGGCTAGTTTTGGAACAAAAGCTAAAATCTAGGTCTCCCATCTAGGTCCAGGCCTCTTTCTACTTGACTGCTGGTTGAAAGTGTGATACAGGAAATTCTGACTTTCATTTGGAGGAGATATTATGTATAGTCTTTATGAACCCACAGCTGGAAGTCATCAAGATACAGTTCTTTTTCTTCTTCTTTCCATTTCTTCATTTTCTCTAATCTGTTCTCTGTGTGCCAGGTGCTAGCTACTGGGGATACAGCAGGGAATAGTGCAGACAGAAATACCTGCCTGCATAGGGTTTATATTCTTGTAGAAGAGACAGATAACAGATAAGTAGATATATATTGTGTCATATGATGGCAAGTATAGGGAGGAAAAAAGCAGCAAAAAAGGAGTATAAGGTTTTGTCATTAGAGTGGGCAGAAGGTTAATTTTTTGAATGTGGCTGGAAAAAACCTCCCTGAGAAGTTGACTTTTGAGTTGACCTTAAGGAAGGGGAAAAGAGAGCTATTTGGATATCAGATTGGGGTGTGGAAATATTCCAGGCAGCATGTGCAAAGGCCCAGAGGTCAAGAGTATTTGGCGTGCTTTCAGAATAAAAACATCAGCGAGGCTGGAGCATAGTGAGAGATGAGGGAAGTCATAAGGGGCCAGGCTATCTGGGTAATGGCAAGATGGCAGAGGGTTGATTATATAGAATGTTGCACCCTTTCTTAGGGTCTTGGCTTGTAGTCTGGCTGAGATGGGAAAACTGCAGGGTTCTTTGTTCAAAACCAGAGAGGTGATCTGACTTATGTTTTGATTCCTGTTTTGAGAATAGAACCGAGGGAGCCAAAGAGAGAAACAGAGAAGCCAGTTAAGAGGGAAGCCATGATGATGGCTTTATCTAGGCAAGAAATGTTGATGGCTTGTCAAAGCATAGCAAGGAGAAGTGTGAAGCAGACAAATTTTGAAATATTTTGGAAACAGAACCAAGAGGGATTTGGAGTTGGGTCATATGTGAGGTGTGAGGGAAACAGAAGAATCAAGAATTATCTCTTGGGAAATTTTGGCCTTAGCAAACGCAAGGTGAAATTGCCATTGATGGGATAGGGAAGATCAGGTTTTCAGACTGGACGTGTTAAGTTTAGCTGTCCGTTAGATGTTTAAATGGTGGCTTTGACTAGGCAGTCTACAGCCTGAGGGAAAGGTCTGGGTTGAATATACAAAATTGGAGACCTCAGCAAGCGGCTGGTATGAGAACCATGAGACTGAATGGGATCATGGAGTGTAGTTAGGAAAGGTAAGAACTTTAAGGACTGAGCCAGAGATTGACTTAAATTCCTTGGTCCAGTAAGTTTTCTCCCCTTTGCTGAGGGGCTCCATGTGTGTTGGAGCATGCCTTCAACATTAAGGCTGTTTACAACTCTGCCTTAGCCTTCACTTCCTGCTTGTGTATGACCTCAGAGTCATCCGGAAATGAGAGTCTGGTGCCTTCTATGCAATTTCCTGGGCATGCACACAGCCCTGCATACATGGGCACCCTTCTAGGTTCCCCAGGAATGTGTCAGAGCTTTTCAAGGCCCTCTGGAGGTTATGGCTCTGGTATTGCAGCTTTTGGTAGTTGTAAAAAGCAATTAACACTGAGTTTTTCCAGCAAACACCTTGGGGCTAGTGCTTTTTCTGTGGAGCTCTTGGTGAGGTCAATAACAACGCTACCCTATGAATGTGACTTTGAGGACCTACTGGTCAAGTCAAAGAGTGGCAATGCTCTGGAAATGGGACTTTTTGAGGTGCTCCAAACCCTCTCTGTTCTTGCAAGCCTGCTGGTTTTCAAAGCCTTTGTGTCTGCAAAGCTCCTGCTATTCATGGCTGTTGTAGAGCTGGGAAGAGTAGGATGGGAGTCATTTAAGTTATAAAGCTACAAACCTTGCTGATCTGTGATTTGGCGTGTTTCTGTTTGTTTCCTTATTTTCTAATAAATGCTCTTCTGGTTATTGCAAGCCTTTGATTTTTGAAATTTTTTGCCAGTCTTTTTGTTGCTTTTTTGGAGGAATGATTTATGAGACTGCCCCCCCCCCCACCATATTGGAAATCCTGCAAATTCAATTTCTTTGAATAGAAGATAGTATTAATAGATATAGGGCAATTCAGGCTATGTACTTCTTCTCGAGGGAGCTTTAGTAGTCTGGACAATTTGCTCATTTCATTTATGTTATTACATTTATTGGCATAACATTGTTTATAATATTCCCTCATGACCCTTTACAAATTATTTAAAAAAGAGATATCATCTCTTTTTTTTCCTGATTAGTCTAGCTAAAGATTTATCAATTTTATTGTTTTTATGAAAGAACTGGCTTTTGGTATCTTTGATTTTTCTTCATTGTTCTTCTGTTTTCTATTTCATTGATTTCCTCTCTGATCTATATTACTATTTTCTTCTTACTTTTTCTGCTATATTAATTGTGTTTTTTATTTTCTGTGTCTTACCATATTTTGACATTCTGGAAGGTGTTTCATATCTAGGGAGAGACTGCCCCACCAAGGGCTAAGCAGTTCCTAGGTGTGTTGTGGACAGCTCACAGCTTGCCCTTCATGTGAGACTGCCTGACCCAAGACTGTACCCCACTCGCCTCCTTATCTAACTCTCACACACCCAAACCAATATTACCCCAGCCTCAATCAACACAGGGCCAGGTACCAGAGAACTAGGGACAGCCTCTATGCCCAAAGCCTGCAAAAATGGTTCAAACGGCCCAATCTGAAGCTGTTTATGCTGTCTTGCCTTGCCTTTCCTATGGGAACCCCAGTAAAGACTCTGGCCTAGGCTTTCTTTTTGTTTCTGCTTCTGCCTCCTAACCCAATCTGGTGATTCTCTCTGTGGTTTTGTGTGGTATGGCATACCCCTTCTGTCCAAACCACTAAGTAATACAAATCTTTCAATGGCATTAGTCTCTGTTTTGTCACTCAGTCAGCTCCATAAATGAAGACCCAGGCGTAAAATCTCTGCTTGCTGCTTACTTTGGAATTACTTTGTTGTTTTTCTAGTTTCTTAAGGTAGAAGCTCAAGTCATCAATTTGAGATTTTTAAAAAATATATAGGATTTAATGCTAGCAATTTCCCTCTAAGTACTGCTTTCATTGAATGCCACAAGTTTTGATATGTTATGTTTTCCTTATCATTCAGATAAAATACTTTATATTCTTTTTGATTTCTTTGACTCATGAGTTACTTGGAGTATGTTAGTTTTCAAATATATGGGGATTCTTTAGATATCTTTCTGTTATTGATTTCTAATCTAATTCCATTGTCACCAGAGAATAAGTTTTGTTTAATTTGAATCCTTTTAAATTTACTGAGTCTTGGGTTATGGGGAAGAATATGGAAAATTTGCTCAGTTTTATGTGTGCACTTATAAAAGAGTGTAATGTTCTACTGTTGTTGATTGGAATTTTCTGCAAATATCAATTATGTAAAATTGGTTGATAGTGTTGTTCAAATCTTCTATGTTGTTACTCATTGTCTGTTTAATTTTACTGCTTGTTCTATCAGTCCTTGTGAGTGGGGTTTCTCTAGTTTCTTGCAGAACTAGTTTCTGTAGTTCTTGCAGTTCTATCAGTTTTGGCTTCATGTATTTTGAAGCACTGTTAGCAGCTACCTAAACATTTGGTATTATTGTGTTCCTGTTGATTAATGACTTCTTTACTTTTTAAAAATTTATTTATTTATTTATTCATTTTTGAGACAAAGTCTCACTGTGTCGCCCAGGCTGGAGTGCAGTGGCACGATCTCAGCTCACAGCAATCTCTACCTCCTGGGTTCAAGTGATTCTTGTGCCTCAGCCTCCCAAGCAGCTAGGATTACAGGTGCCCACCACCACACCTGGCTAATTTTTTTGTATTTTAGTAGAGACAGAGTTTCACCATATTGGCCAGGCTGATCTCAAACTCCTGACCTCAGATGATTCACCTGCCTCAGCCTCCCAAAGTGCTGGGATTACAGGCGTAAGCCACCATGCCCGGCCGACTTCTTTATTTTTATGAAATGCCCCTTTTTTGCTTGTAATTTTTTTTACTGTAAAATCTACTTTGATAATAATAGTCACTCAAGCTTTAATTTTTATTAAAGTATAGTTGACAAAATTGTATATATTTACAATGTACAATGTGATGTTTTGGTATATGTATACAATTGTGAAATGGTTAACCCTAGCTAATTAATCAAACTTTCTTTTCATGAGTGTTAGCATGGCAAATATTTTTCTTTTCTTTTTAATCTATTTTTACCTTTATTTATAAAATCTGTGTATGTAGGTGTATGTGTTTATGTAAGGCACCACATAGTTGGGCCTTTCTTTAGCCCATCTGATCATTTCTGCCTTTCAATGAGAGTGTTTAGACTACTTGAAATTTTAGTGTGATTATTCATATATTAGGGCTTAGTTCTGGGATCTTGCTATTTGTTTGTCTATTAGTCCCATCAATTCTGTTATTTTTGTCTCTCTTTTTGCTGCCTTTTAGATTAATTGGCATTTTTAGGATTCATTTTATTTCGCTTTTTGGCTTTTTAGTCATAACTGTTTGTTGTGTATGTGTTTTTTAATGACTGCTCTGGGGCTTAAATAGCCATATCTAAGTTATCTCTGTCTGCCTTCAAGTGACACTATACAGTTTCACATATAGTATACAAAGTTAAGACAGTATGTTCCCATTTCTCCTTTCTTGAACTTTGCCCTATTCTTTCCATACGTGTTACTTCTTTATTTGCTATAAACTTTATAGCATTTTGTTATTTTTTATTTAAACACTCAGTTTTCTTTAAAGAGATTTAAATAATAAGAAAGATGGTCTTATAATTACCCATTTTTGTTGCTATTCATTCTTTTGTGTAGATTCATTTTCATCTTAGAATATTGTCTTTTTTGAAGGACTTACATATTTCTTGTAATGCAGGCCTACTGGTGATGACATTTTACAGCTTTGGCAAATCTGAAAAAGTCAATATTTTTTCCTAAATTTTAAATATATTTTCACTGGATATGGAATTCTAGGTAGACTTTTTCTTTCAGTACTTTAACAATATTGTTTTACTCTCTTCTGGCTTGTATTGTTTTTGGAAAGAAGGCTGCATCATTTTTTGTCTTTGTCCTCTGCAATAATTGTGTCATTTCTCCCTGGCTACATAAAAGATTTTCTCTTTGTCCCTGGTTTTAAACAATTTGATTGTTATGCGTTTGTAGTTTGCTTTATGTTTCTTTTGCTTGGGTTCATTGTGATTTGGGAGCCTATGTATACATCAGTTTTGTCACATCTTGGAAAACTTCAAATATGTTTTCTGTTTTCCACATTTTTCTTCTTCAGCGATTCATACTACATGTATTGAAGTTGTCCTAAGTAAAATAATTCCCTGCCCATTTTATTCTGTTATTTTCTTCTCTGTGCTTAACTTTGGATAATTTCTAATGCTGTGTCTTCAAGTTCACTCATCTTTTTTTTCCCTGCAATGTCAAATCTGCCGTTAATCCCATCCATTGTTTTTTGTAACTCAACATGATTGTTTTCATCTCTAAAAGTTTTTAAAAATCTCTTTCATGTCTTCACTAATCATGTTTGATCTTTCCTGTAGCATCTTGAATAAATGGAATACAATAGTAATAAACTACTTTAATTTTTAAATTTATTAAGCCTATTGTCTGTGTCATTTCTGGGTCCGTTTTGACTGATCGATTTTTTTCCTCCTCATCATTGGTTCTATGTTACGGCTTCTTTGCATGCCTAACGATTTTTTTGAATGTTAGACATTGTGGATTTTACCATGTTGGGTGCTGGATAGTTTCATATTCCCCAAAATGTTCTTGAGCTTTGTTCTGCCACATGATTGTTACTTGGAAATGGTTTAATCCTTTCGGGTCTTGCTTTTAAGCTTTATTAGGATCAGGAAAAAGTTTATTTGAGGCCTAATTTTCCCTAATGTCTGAGTCAGAAGCCTTCTGGGTACTGCGCCTGATGCCTTGTCATTCATGAGGCTTTCCACTCTGGCTGTTGGGAACAGCCACTGTTTCCAGCATTGGCTGTGCTCCACGTGTTACTCCCTCCAGTTCTTTTGACAAATTCTCCCTCTGGCCTTGGGTAATTTTCTTATATGCTTACGTTGACTGATAGATACTCAGCTGAAAACTTGGGGGAGACTCTCAGTTATCATGAGACTCTTTCTCCCTGTCATCATGCAGCTCTAGGTACTTGGGGACTCTGCCCTGCAAACTTTTCTACCCAGGTTCTCAGCTCCATCTCTTCAACTCACTGGGCTTTGCCTGTGTTTCTTCTCGGCAATGTCATGGCCTGGCTGTAATTTTGGACAACAGTAGAGCTCACCTCCTTTCTTCCCCATCTTTCTGGGATTTCTGTCCTTTGTTTTCTGATGTTCAATGTCTTGAATACCGTTGTTTCATATATTTTGTCCATTTTTTAGTTGTTCATGTGAGAAGGTAAATCCAGTTTCTGTTACTCCATCTTGTACTGAAAGGCATGACTCTCCTACATTATCTCCACTTTTTAGATGAGTGAAAAGTGGGTGAAGGAGGTTAAATAACTTGCCAAAGGCATAGCACACAGGCAGTAAGTGACACCGCTGGACTTGAATATGCTTCTCAGACTCCCAGGATAATGCCCTTATCACGAGGCTGTGAAGCTTTTATATGTAATGTGAATTGATATATTTAATAATCGATGTATTTCTTCGTAGATATTAAATCAAGAGACACTGGCAGATTTTTAATATAAATTGCCTCCCCCCTTCTTCCTTTTAAAGATAAATGCAATGAACGTGAAGAAAAAATAATTTTAGTGTCATCTGCAAATGAAATTGATGTTCGTCCCTGTCCTCTTAACCCAAATGAATACAAAGGCACTATAACATGGTATAAAAATGACAGCAAGACATCTATATCTACAGAACAAGCCTCCAGGATTCATCAGCACAAAAAGAAACTTTGGTTTGTTCCTGCTAAGGTAGAAGATTCAGGACATTACTACTGTGTGGTAAGGTGAGAGAGGAATTAGTATGTTACAAACGTGTTCTAGTTTCCTGCAGTTGTTAAGGACAGAAACACTTTTAATAATGCTTAACTTACCTATTTTATTTTATTTTAGAAATTCATCTTACTGCCTCAGAATTAAAATAACTGCAAAATTTGTGGAGAATGAGCCTAACTTGTGTTATAATGCAGAAGCCATATTTAAGCAGAGACTACCCGTTGCAGGAGATGGAGGACTTGTGTGCCCTTATATGGAGTTTTTTAAAGACGAAAATAATGAGTTACCTAAATTACAGTGGTATAAGGTAATTTTATTTTAAATATGACATTTCACTTTTCTGGAAAATAAAATAGTTCCCTGGACAATAGAATGAATCTGCAAAGTACCTTTTTATTTTGCATATTGTTTTCTCTTTAATGGTGACACTTGATAGGGAACCTAAAAAGAATAATAAGACTGCATTCACTTAATTTGAAGGTTAACTAGAAATTTACTTGCTATTGTTTTTATTTAATTTAATAAGATGTAATTGAGAAAAGTACTATAAATAGATATTTAAAGAGAAGGCTGATTATAAGCTTAAGGTATTTAAGATATAACTATTTATTATAAAATATACTATGTATGTTTTATTAAAGCTATGGTCTTCAAATAACCTGCTAGTTTCCATAACTGTATTAAAAGTGAGTCGACTAGCTTTCCATGTAACACCCCATGTTGTGGTATCTTTAATCTGCCTAGTCTGGTGGAACTCAAATGGGGAATCTTCTCGTAGAGCGTAAGACATACTAAATAAATAATATCAATGAAGAAATGAAGTGCAGTATTGTTAAGAAACTATATAGTGTTAACTTTTTTTCAAACATGTTTTTCCTGCAAAATAAATTGGCATTCACTTCTTATACTATGAAGTCTCATAGACTTGAAAACTTAATGTCACAGGAATATAGTTAACTGTTTCCAAAAAACCAATATTAAAACTTACTCTATGTAAGGAAGTTTTCCTGTCTCTTTCTAAAAATATAACGTTTGCTAAGGTGAAAAAAATGGAGTTCCTTTGACTGGTAGATTGGGGAAAGTTATTGGTTATTGGTTTTCAATGCTTCTCTCTCCCTTTATCTAGGATTGCAAACCTCTACTTCTTGACAATATACACTTTAGTGGAGTCAAAAATAGGCTCATCGTGATGAATGTGGCTGAAAAGCATAGAGGGAACTATACTTGTCATGCATCCTACACATACTTGGGCAAGCAATATCCTATTACCCGGGTAATAGAATTTATTACTCTAGGTGAGTCATAGCTCCAGCCCTAGAAGGTTTAGATCTGGGAAGGCCCAGAGACTATGATTGTAATATTACTTTCATTGTCCATGAAGAAACAAAATCCAAGACGACCTCAGTGATACCACAAAAGTCACATGGCTTTAGTTTTGTTTTTTTTGTTACTAAACACTATGTAATGTTTTCCATTCCTGCTTCAGATGTAGTTTTAATTAAATAGAGACATTATGAGCTGTGTTTTCCAACTGATCTAAGAGGGTTGTTCTTTGGCATGGCTAAAAATGGTTCTTACTGAAAGCTCTGGGGCTCCCTCTGGCTGGAATATGGGAATGTTCTGAGAGCTTGCACTTGGGGAATCTCAGTGAGTCTCAGTGTCTAGCAGCAAGCATGGGTGTGGACACTAACGAGCTTTGGAATAAGTCACATTTCCAGCATCTACTTCCTGTTCGTTCTGTGTTAGGTGTTAACCTCTCTAAGCCTGTTTCCTCTTCTGTAACAAGATGATGCAATCTCCCAAGATTATTGGGAAGATTAGAGATATGGGGTCCACTAAACTCGTGTGCCTGGTGCAAAGAAATGCTTGGTGCAAAACAGCTGTGCAATTAATAGGTGTACGGTGATTGTTCTTGTTCATTTTCTTGTGTCTTTCAATTCTGCATTAACCATGTTTCATATTGAAAACTATATCACAACAAAATTAAACAAAATGCGCAAATTACCAGGGGATAGTCAGAATGCTCAAACTTTTTGTAAATAATGAGATGTTGTAAGCTTTATGTAATATAAGAAGTGTTATTCCAACCAGAACTTTTTTGTAGGTTAGAGGGGTATCTATTAGTAGTTATGCTGGGACAACAGGTATAAATTGGGACTATCCCAAGCAATCTCAGAATATGATCACCCTATAAATGGCTTCACTTTTCTAGTTATATAATACTTTATTTTCCTAAAAATATTTTTATTAAACAAAAGTTAATTCCTTGCCATGGTCCTCGCCATTCACAAGCATCAGTGAATCCTAATTTTCAGTGGTCTTTGTATCAAACCATGTTCTTGAGTCTTTAGCAGCCTGTCATTGGGTAGCTCTGGTCTGTCTTTCCTGAAACATAGCAACCAAACCAGCAAGTAGAACCTGAGAAAGAACTGGGCACTGGGGAATATTTAAGCTAGGTTGAGTGTGTTTTAGATACTCTCTGTTCCCTTTTCTGATCCCATTTGTAGAAACAATATACTCTACTCCGAGTGGGGTAATATTTTGTTTTCTTCCCAAGGCCCACCCCAATGATGCTTAGTGCTTTTTGTTCACTCAAGGATTCAAAAATATTTATTAAGCATTTACTATGTTTCAGGAACTGTTATAGGTATACGTTAGGGAACAAAAGAGAGAATATCCTACCTTCATGGTGTTCACTTTTTTTTTTTTTTTTTGACTGGGGGAATACCGAGTACTCAATTTTATAGTTTCTCATAGTTTCTTTCACGGCCACAGGTCAACCCCTGAAGCCAGTCTTTTCATAAATAAGTCAGATTAATTTCTGGGGCTCCTTGATACTTCTTTTTGCCTATTTTAATAAATTACAGCATTATTCCATAACCCTGTAGTTCTCACTACTGGGTCATTACCACAGTCATTAAATGCAAGCAGGTCTAGTACTGATTAGCCCTGCTGGCCAATAACACCCAATTCAAGGAACTAAATTCCCACTACTCTTGCCTTTCCTGATGTGCTTCCACTTATGAGAGGCACTTGTCTGGGGACCCAGGGACCTGGTGATGTGTTTTTTTTCAGTTGCACCCCACTCTATGGGTTCACAAGGTCTAGCTCTGCCCCAGGGTTCACAGGGTGCTGTGACCTCTGCCTCAGCTTTCTTCCTTCACTTTCTGCCTCCTGTCTCCTGGCATATGTGCTTTGAACACTTGATGGAGTATCTGGCCAGAAGTAATTTAGTGTATTTTGCTAAATGTTGTCGTCACTTAAGATTCTGATCTATAAGAGACTGACAAACCTTATGAATGTTTTTCTTTCAGAGGAAAACAAACCCACAAGGCCTGTGATTGTGAGCCCAGCTAATGAGACAATAGAAGTAGACTTGGGTAAGTGGGCTTCAGTCAGGATATGTTGGAATCAGTTTTTTTTTAAACGTGAGAGTACGATAAATTGTATCTTTACTATATGTAATCCAAGCCATTTACTGCATATATCTATAATTAGAGGGAAAGTGACACAAATTATATCTTAATTTTTTTCTATTTCTTGCCTCTATGGCAAACATCTTGCCATGTCTGATATCTCCAGCCCTACTTTTCTGTGGACACTTACTACAATGAAAACACCAACCAGACACCAAGGTTAAAAGGCCTAGGAACCAGCAATGCTGTTGACTGGTACAGAGTTAAAATATTTAATGACAAAATTAGGGTTTGCTGTAATAGTGAATCAATAGAGCAGGTGTTACTTATCTCTGAATTAAACAAAAATTATATTTGACATCTTAGAGAACTTCTGAAGAATTAATTATTGTACGATAGACATCAGCAGTGTTACAATTTCAGGACTGGATTTCTGATGACCAGATCCAAGCTTTGAGTCAGAAGAGTAAGACTACAGGCCCCAAAGATGGTAGTCATTCTAGAAAAGTACTTTTCCAAGTTAGTGAACATTTTTTATTCAAGAATAAAGAAAGAACCCCACAAGCGTCTAGTTCTGCACTGTTGAGTGCAGTAGTTATTAGCCACATGGGGTTACGGATGTGCAAAATTAAATTAAGTCAGTCGATTCATTTAGTTAAATTAAAAATTAGTTCATCTGTCACATCAGCCATATCTCAAGGGCTTAACAGCCACATGTGACAAGTGACTACTGTAGAGATAAGCAGGAATATAGAACATTTCCATCATCACTGAAAGTTCTACTGGAAACCACTGATCCAGAGAGAAAAAGTGATTCTTTGTATCAGAGGACCCAAAATAGGCTGGCCTTGGAATTGCCTTCTGTAACAGTAACCGCATGACAGCAGTCAAGAACCATACAGAGGTTCGAAGGTTCATGTTTGTGATCTGCGAATTCTGTACTTGGCCAGTTCTGTACTTGTTATTTATGGTGGAAGGTGGTAGAAAGACATTCTTAGATAGAAACAAAAATGTCAAAACTCAAAATTAAATATGGGCCAATAGGCTCTAGAATAATGTTTCTCAATCATCTTTTTTGTTTTAGATTGTTCCCCTTTAGAGTCTAAAAAGTCTTCCTCCACCTAATTCTCTTTCCTGTCTTCAAATTTCAATACCACAGTTATTTTTATATCTGCTGATATACTGTGGCCCTTTGGAGTACCACAAACCATGTAATATCTAAGGTTTTCTTGCCTCTTCCCCAAGAACCAGGTTTTGCCCTGCTGGCCACAGCCCCTGTTGAAAGTGCCTGCCCCAGAAGTGTGTAAGTGAGAGCTCTGATGCCTAGGCTGCATTGATCTCTCAATCTAAAAAAAAAAAAAAAAGCTTCAAATTAGGAAATAATTATTTTAATGTATTGTATTGACAGTGGATCAGAAGCATATAGTACCCTGTCATAAGATTATCCTGAAGGGTGTTAAATAGGCAATAAGATCCCATACCATTACTCCTAAGTTGACTTAGAAAAATAAGAATTGAGAGATACTTCCTTAACTTAATAAATAACATCAGTGCAAGCCAATAGTCACTAACATTCTTAATGGTGAAATACTATAGACCTTCTCACTAAAGCCAAGAGCAAGACAAAGATGCCCATGTAACCACTATTACTGAACATAGTCTAGAAGTGCCTACTAATGCAATTGAAGGAAAAAAACAAGGTATGCTTACCACAAGGGAAAAAAGACATTTTTATTATTGTTTCCAGATCATACAAATCCCAAGAAAATCGCTGGGAAATACTAGAATTAATTCTATATAAATTAGTCAGATAACGAATTAACATTTAGAATTAATGTTCTAAAATATAAGACTTTTTTAGCAATAACCAGCTAGAAAGCATAATAGGAAAACAAATGCCATTTGCACCAGTAAATGTCTTAGAAGTGTCCATAAAATATCTTAGAAAAACTTTGAAAATATGTGGAATTTATAAGAGAGGAAAAAAACTAAAAAAAACCAAAACCCTGAATATTAATCTCAGGAAAACTGAAATTTAAAGCATGCATCCAGCCGGGTGTAGTGGCTCAGGCCTGTAATCCCAGCACTTTGGGAGGCCAAGGTGGACAGATCACTTGAGGCCAGGTGTTTGAGACCACCCTGGCCAAGATGTTGAAACACCATCTCTACTAAAAATACAAAAATTAGCTGGGTGTGGGGGTGCATGCCTGTAGTTCCAGCTGCTCAAGAGGCTGAGGCATGAGAGTTGCTTGAACTCAGGAGGAGGTTACATTGAGCCGAGATTGCACCGCTGCACTTCCAGCCTGGGTGACAGCGAGACTCTGTCTCATTTAAAAAAATGCAATTAAATAATGGATAGAGGGATAACAGTTTTTAAAAGCAAGGTCGATGAGCACCAAGCTAACAAAAAGCATGTTGACGTACCGTGAATTCAAGAAATGTAGATGAAAACTTAAGTGACATTTTCTTCTCTCAAAAGGCAATGTCTAACCAAAAACACTTGTTATCTGGTGGTTTTGGGGAAAATCGTGCTCACATACTCTACTGCAGAGAATGTAGACTGATACAGCCTCACTAAAGAGAGGGGGTTAGCTTTTAAAATATGTTTCTTTAATTCAATCCTACTTTCAGATTTTAATACTTCAGGATGTGTACAAACAAGGATATTCATTAAAATATTAATCTTAATAATGAAAAATTAGGAAATTGTGTTCATCAGTAGGAAATAGTTAATCATAGTGTATATGTATTATGGAGTGCTAAGCAGCCATGACACAGTCTATTTTGGAAGACAAATCATGTGGGCCCAAATTCCCAATCCACAGTAATTTCAAAATAGTAGGCAATAAGACCCCATTTCAAAAATTGCACGTGTTCACAGAGAAGATAAGGAATGAGATACATAAGGTTACTAATGGTGGTTTTCTCTGGGTGGTGGGTTTAGGGTAATTTTCCTTTTTCTTTGTGCATTTCTATATTTAAAATTTTAATTCAATAGCCATTTCTTAATCTAGATAGATCAGAAAAGATCAATTAATGTTACGATTAAAAATACATTCTTTGTAGGATCCCAGATACAACTGATCTGTAATGTCACTGGCCAGTTGAGTGACACTGCCTACTGGAAGTGGAATGGGTCCTTCATTGATGAAGATGACCCAGTGCTAGGGGAAGACTATTACAGGTATGTATGCTCAGAGTCATTCACAGTTTGATATTAAATCCCACATGGTATTTTCTATAACCTTGTTGGTTTAGTTTAAAAGCAAGTGTTAGTTGCTCCTCACCCTTTGCTGCCCTTTTTATTTTGCTACGTAGAATTTACAAGATGTTGTACATTTAAGATAAAAAGTACATGCCATTGTGGTGCAAATTACAGGCCACTTAGAAGCCTTTCTCTTAAGTTATACATGTTGCAACATTTCAACGAAGCAATTATCTTTCATTATTCTTCATATTCCTCAAGTAGCTTAGAAGAGACTCATTAATGAGCTCAAGAATCAGGCAATCCACACTGCTGTCAAAAGCCTGTCCTGGTTTCCTACTGCTCATCTATGGGACAAGGATCTCCTGTCCTGTGACTTCTCCTTCACATCACCTGCGAAGCACTTTGTCATCTGCCCCAATCTCCTCCGTTTAGTATATTGTATATTATTCTCTGTGCCCCATGGAGACCACAATGCATTTGTCTACATTTTTCTTCTTGGAAGTGGTAATTTTTTGCTTTCTCTGCTCCTGAGCCTGTTACTGACAGTGGTCTTGGGGTTGTAAAATCTCAGATGAGTGTTGCCAGCAGTCTGAATATTGTGACTATGATTGGGCAGGGTGATTATTTCAGCTGCAATTTTGTCACCAATAAGGAAATACACAGGGTATACATGTCGTATTTGTAATCGATGCAATTTACTTACACAAGTTTATTTACTCTCTCTCGTGAATAGTGTGGAAAATCCTGCAAACAAAAGAAGGAGTACCCTCATCACAGTGCTTAATATATCAGAAACTGAAAGTAGATTTTATAAACATCCATTTACCTGTTTAGCCAGGAATACATATGGTATGGATGCAGCATATGTCCAGTTAATATATCCAGGTAAACAACAAGCTAATTGAAACACAATTTTGTTTTACCGTAGTAAGATTCCATGACCTTGAAGTTTGAAATGCCATTTCCTCTGCTTAGAACACTCTTCACTTCCTCATTACCTAGGTAACTTCTATTTCCCTTTTACTCTGTCTTCTTGGAAGCTTTTCTGTCCTGCTGCCTGCGCTTAACCCAGCTCTCAGCCCAAAGAGAGGAGGTTAGGGCCTCTGTATCTACTTCTGTAGCACCATATGTCACAGGATCTCTGGTACTTAGTTTTCTATACTTAACTGTCAATTCTGTGATGGTGGCAACCATTTATCTTAGTAATCATTCTATTTCCACAGCTAATGGCAAGTTAGGTCTGGAACATTGTAGGTACCTAATGAATATTTTGAAGTAAGTGACTACATTGATGGATACATAGAGTAAGATTAAATAAATATCCACTTTCAAAGAGGACATCAAAAGTCACTGGGTTTCATGAATTGGTAGAATAAAACATAATATTGAAAGTATTTGTGAAACATTTTAAGGTAATTTGTGGTTTAATTAAAAATAGGATATTGTAATTGTGTGCATGGAAGAATATCTGAAAGACCCTAAAAATTAACTTCTATCTATGTTTAAATACTAGCAGCATACAAATAGAAATTACATTTAAAAGATAACATTTATAGTAGCATCAAAAATCATCAAATACTTAAGAATAAATCTAGCAGAAGCTGTTCAAGACCTCTGTAATACAAACCAAAAAATATTGAGATAAATTAGAGAAGAACTAAATGGAGGGATATACAATGTTCATAGATTGAAAGACTCAATATTATGAAGATGTCAGTTCTCCCCCACATGAATGTATGGATTCCAAAAAATTTTAATCAAAATCTCAGCAGCATTTGTGCAAGTGAGAGTCAGTGTTTGTATGGGTGTGTTTTTGTGGACACCTGTAAAAGTCACAGGGAACTGTAAAGGACCAAGTATAGTCCTGGTGGTCTTAAATAGGAAAAATAAATCTGGAAGATTATTACTACAGGCATCATGATCTTGTATGAAGCGACAGTACTTAAGATCGTAAATGTGAACTATCATTTGGGCCAGCTGGTTATTTGTCTGGAAAATGGTATAACTTGATTTCTATTTTGTATCCAAATCATCTAAATTGGAAAAGTAAATAAAGCTTTTAGATTCCCTTTTCTGGATGCTTACATCGTTCCTGATATTTAGAAGGTACTTTCTTTTTCTTTCCTGTTTCTTCTTCTCTAGCTCCCTCCCCATCACCTACTCCATCTGCTCCCTGACTTCCTCTGTAATTATTGAATAACTAAGTAGAGAAGGAGGCCAGGAGAATGTGGAAATGTGAAACTTCCCTAAGCCTCTACCTTTTTCCCTTTCCACCAGTCTTTACCCAATGGACTCTCTGACCTCAGGGAACTTTTGTAGGCTTTTGAGTGATTTTAACTTTTCCCTGTTTTGCTGTGGAATGCTGTATCCTGTGGTCTTTGGTATTTTTTTTCCGTGTTATTGTATATTATACTATTTAGGTAGAAACTTCATAGAATGCACCTTAGTTTTATATAATCCATGCTAGATTGCTTTGTACGTTAGTATCCATTCCAAAGTGATAATCATGAATGAGTTAATACTGTCTGAATGCAGGCCAGTCCCAAATATGGTCTTTCTGAGATGAAGATATTTAATTTGCTGTGCTCAAAGTTTTAATTCTTTTTGGTTCTAATATTTTTTCTCCTCTTTTTTTTTTTCCTATAGTCACTAAATTCCAGAAGCACATGATTGGTATATGTGTCACATTGACAGTCATAATTATGTGTTCTGTTTTCATCTATAAAATCTTCAAGGTTGACATTGTGCTTTGGTACAGGGATTCCTGCTATGATTTTCTCCCAATAAAAGGTATAATTTTGTATTCCATGCAGTATTTCTTGTTAGAGATAGGGGATAGTTAGGAGATGTAGAAGATAACTAAGAGGGTTTTTACTTAAGTTCTAAAGTGAAAAGTGGCATATACAAGAATATTAGTTATTCTTACACAGAATTATAGTTTTATAACTCATTAGGCTGAATATCATTGTTTTCTAAGTTCCTGCCTCAACATTCATATTGGTAGAATAAACAGGTATTTAGAGCATCTGTTTATAAATTCAGTTATGCACAAGCCATTGGGAGGCCTTGCTCTGTGATGAGTAGAACAGACATAGATCTTACCTTGATGAAAGAAATTAAATGACTAGATCTTCGTGCATTGGGGAGGTTCTCTCTCTCTTCTTTGTTTAAACTTTGCAAAAAAAAAAAAAAAAAAGGAATACCACAATGTCTAAAAAAAATGAATGGATAGAATTCAGGGCTGAGACCTTTGGGGAAGAAGATGAGAACAGTGAGACTTTAAGGATGGCTCTATACTAAGAGTATAAGAGGCAGCCTCCAAATAGAAGAGCAAATTTGCTGTAAAACACAAGAAATAGAAACCTTGTAAGAGATGAACACTTTTTAAAGGGATTATATTTTTGGTATTGCTGCTTCAGTCATGCCATTGTGCAAAAAAAGATGAATAGTTCATTATAAAATGAATGTTTGTGATATTAACTTTATCAAATCTCTTATTTTTGCCTTGTGGTTCTAAATACATTATTTTTTCCTTTAGCTTCAGATGGAAAGACCTATGACGCATATATACTGTATCCAAAGACCGCTGGGGAAGGGTCTACCTCTGACTGTGATATTTTTGTGTTTAAAGTCTTGCCTGAGGTCTTGGAAAAACAGTGTGGATATAAGCTGTTCATTTTTGGAAGGGATGACTACGTTGGGGAAGGTATGTGTGTCATGGAACAAAGTAAAGGCTTATTGTTATAAAACTACTTAGTAAAATGTGGATTCCATCTTTCCAGAAGATTGTGGCATAGGGGTATATGTTTCACAATTTAAAGAACCTCTTCAGAAGTGTATGATGATTTTTACATTTATTAAATGCAAAGTATTTACTTCTCGCATATTTTGTCAGAGCAATAATTAAGTGATTTTCATTTCGTTTTGAAAAACTTAATGACTAGTTAAACCCAACAGTTGCTTTACAACTGATACAATAAAACAGGAGTGGTAGAGATCAAATGATTGAATAGTAAGTTTTTAAAATTCCAACAACGTTTTCTGAGTTCTGAATGACATATTTGTCTTTTGAGGGCCAATTTTTGAATTCGTCTATAAAATGGGAGGTTTGCAGTTGCTCACGCCTGTTATCTCAGCACTCCAGGAGGCCAGGGTGAGAGGGTTGCTTGAGCTGAGGAGTTTGAGGCTGCAGCGATCCAAGATCATGCCACCGCATTCCAGTGTGAGCAACAGAACAAGAGCCTGTCTCTTAAAATTAATTAATTAACTAATTAATTTTAAAAATGGGAAACTCCTTTAATTTTACATAAGGCAAGAAAGAGGCGTTAGGAGCCATAGGGTTGAAGAAAGCCATGTGTGACTTTGGTTCAGGAGAGAATGATGATAAATAGAAATTTACTTACTATATTGTGCTTCCTGTTTTTCAGACATTGTTGAGGTCATTAATGAAAACGTAAAGAAAAGCAGAAGACTGATTATCATTTTAGTCAGAGAAATATCAGGCTTCAGCTGGCTGGGTGGTTCATCTGAAGAGCAAATAGCCATGTATAATGCTCTTGTTCAGGATGGAATTAAAGTTGTCCTGCTTGAGCTGGAGAAAATCCAAGACTATGAGAAAATGCCAGAATCAATTAAATTCATTAAGCAGAAACATGGGGTTATCCGCTGGTCAGGGGACTTTACACAGGGGCCACAGTCTGCAAAGACAAGGTTCTGGAAGAATGTCAGGTACCACATGCCAGTCCAGCGACGGTCACCTTCATCTAAACACCAGTTACTGTCACCGGCCACTAAGGAAAAACTGCAAAGAGAGGCTCATGTGCCTCTCGGGTAGCATGGAGAAGTTGCCAGGAGTTCTTTGGGTGCCTCCTATCTTATGGCGTTGCAGGCCAGGCTGTGCCTCATGCTGACTTGTAGAGTTCATGGAATGTAACTGTATCATCCTTTATCCCTGAGGTCACCTGGAATCAGGAATCAGATTGTTAAGGGAATAAGCCATGATGTCAATAGCAGCCCAGGGCGCTTCGCAGGAGAGGGCTTGGGAAGATCTTTTAGAAAGGCAATAGGCTGGGTGTGGTGGCTCACAACTATAATCCCAGCACTTTGGGAGGCTGAAGTGGGTGGATCACCAAAGGTCAGGAGTTCGAGACCAGCCCGGCCAACATGGCAAAACCTCATCTCTACTAAAAATAAAAAATTAGCTGGGCATGGTGGTGCACGCCTGTAATCCCAGCTACATGGGAGGCTGAGGCAGGAGAATTGCTTGAACCCGGGAGACGGAGGTTGACTCCAGGCTGGGCAACAGAGCAAGATTCTGTCTCAAAAAAAGAGTGAGACTCCATCTCAAAAAAAAAAAAAAAAAAAAGAGGCAATAAATGCCCTCTCTGAATGTTTGAACTGCCAAGAAAAGGCATGGAGACAGCAAACTAGAGGAAAGGGCATGCAGGAAATGGCCACCATCTATAGATGGCTTTGTTAAGTCATCCACAGCCCAAGGGCGGGGCTGTGCCTTGTCTGGGGATCCCGTGGAGTCACTGGCCCTGGAGCGGCTCTCCTGAGAGGTGCTGCAGGTGAAGTGAGACTGACACCTCACTGAGGAAGGGAGATGTATTCTTGGAGAACTTTCCATCTGCTTGCATTTTCCATACACATCCCCAAGCAGAAGTTAGTTTCCGAAGACCGAATTTTATTTTACATATGTTGAAAGCTCACTTCACTGAACAAAGGCATTCTCCGGTATTCCAAGGCTTTGAAGTCATCTTAGCTTTCCACAGGAGAGACAGAACTTAAAAAGCAGCAGTAGCAGGGAATTGATCCACTTCTTAATGCTTTCCTCCCTGGCATGACCATCCTGTCCTTTGTTATTATTCTGCATTTTACATCTTCGGAGGGACAGCTCCCTAACGGCTTCGTCCCTCCGCAACGTCCCTTGCATAGCCCACACATGAACCGTCCTTTCTGTGATGCTGCTCTTCTGTCATCCGGCTCCTGCTCAAACACTTCCCGCAGGCTCCACCTGTTGGAGCTGAAGCCCATGCTCTCCCACCAGCACGTCACTCCCAGCCCGCCTCCCTGCCCTGTCCTCCAGCCTCCCCTTGCTGTCCCGCTGTGTGAATTCCCAGGTTGGCCTGGTGGCCATGGCGCCTGCCCCCAGCACTCCTCTGTCTGTGCTCTTGCCTGCCCCCCTTCCTCCTCCTTTGCCTAAAAGGCCTTCTCTTACTTTCTCCAGCTGATCAGAATTTTACCGAAATTCAGAACATCCTCCAATTCCACAGTCTCCAGGAGACTTTCTTTCCCTAAGAGGCGACTCCCTCTCCAGCCCTCTCTCTCCGGTCAGGCCCACGGCAGTGACGGCAGTGAGCACGTCAGGGAGGCTGGTCTCCCTCCAGCTGGAATCGCTGCTGTCTGAGGGAGAGGCTGTGGGTGGCTGTCTCTGTCCCTCACTGCCTTCCAGGAGCAATTTGCACATGTAACATAGATTTATATAGTGCTTTATGTTTAAAAACATTCCCCAGTTATCTTATTTAATTTTTGCAATTATTTTAATTTTATATATAGAGAAAGTGACCTATTTTTTTAAAAAATCACACTCTAAGTTCTGTTGAACCCAGGACTTGAGCCTCATTTCTGGCTTTAGTCTGGTGTTCTGAGTACTTGATTTCAGGTCAATCATGGTCCCCCCTCACTCCACACTGGCACATTTGTGAGAAGAAATGACATTTTGCTAGGAAGCGACCGAGTCTAGCAATGCTTTTATTCAAGACACCAAATTCCGAACTTCTGAATGTTGGAATTTTCAAAAATTATATTTAGATTTTATGAAAAACTCTTCTACTTTCATATATTCTTTCCCTAGAGGCAAACATTTCTTAAAATGTTTCATTTTCATTAAAAATGAAAGCACGTTGTGTTTTTTTTTTTTGGTATAGAAAAAACATTTTTAAAAATGGGATGACAGGCCTCAGAATAATTGGAGAAACCCTGCAAAACCAGAAAGCCAGATTTATATGCCACCAATTGCAGGGCACAAGCACAGTTTTATGAGTTGTATGAACATGGGCAGGTCCTCTGGTTTTTATATTTCTCGTATTTAATACGGGTGAACACAAACTTTTATTTGGAATAATAATATTCCTCCTAAACAAAAACACATTGAGTTGAAGTCTCTGACTCTTGCCTTTCCACCTGCTTTCTCCTGGGTCCACTTTGCCTGTTTTAAGGAACGTGCTGTTCTGGAACTGCTGTTCCAACAGACAGGGCCTAGCTTTCATTTGGCACACAGACTACAGCCAGAAGCCCATGGATCAGGGAGGTCACGTCCCGAAAAGCCTATTAGAAGTTTTACAAATTTAATTTTGCAGATTATTTTAGTCTGTCATCTAGAAAATGTGTGAGCACCCATAGTGCCAAGAAAGCAAGCCAATTTGGAAACTCAGGTTAGTGACAAAATTGGCCAGAGAGTGGGGGTGACGAGGACCGAGAATTACAAGTAGCATGGCAGCTGGAATTTGAGGAAGGACAAGAATCAGTGGATACGCCTGGGTGGAGGAGGGTCCAAACAGAAAAGTGCAGAGTCATTCCCCATCTTCCAGGGGTTGGATTCTGGAGGAAGGAGACACATTCCTAGTTCCCCGTGAACCTCCTTTGACTTATTGTCCCCCCACTAAAACAAAACAAAAAACGTTGAATACCTTCTGCTTTAAGTAGATTTTCTTGCAGTTTTTAATGGCATTTTTAAAAAGATGCCCTAAGTGTTGAAGAAGAGTTTGCAAATGCAACAAAATATTTAATTACCGGTTGTTAAAACTGGTTTAGCACAATTTATATTTTCCCTCTCTTGCCTTTCTTATTTGCAATAAAAGAAAAGGTATTGAGCCATTTTTTAACTGACATTTCTGATAAATTATGTTTGTACTAGCTTATGATGAAGGAGTTTTTAAAACCTGTTTATATAATTTTGCAGCAGAAGCCAAATTTTTGTATAGTAAAACACCAAATTCGTGTACAGCATGCATCACGGATCAATAGACTGTACTTATTTTCCAATAAAAGTTTCAGATTTTGTACTGAGTGTTATCCTTGAGAATCTGTTCTTTGTCTGGTCCACAGCTTACCTGCGCATCTGCACATTCACAGGCCTGAACAAGGTGAGGAGACCCGCTGCAGAGAGTTCTTCCTGTTGCGCGGAGCGGGTGGGGAGGGGCTGGAGGAGGGGAGGGGAGTGGAGGTCAGAGGCTATTGGCCTAACAGTGAGCCCGAACTCCCTTCTTCTAGCTAAACTCTACTCCCTCTGCTCACCTGCTTCTAAAATGGATTAAAATGTGAGCCTTATCATTAACTTCTTTATTGGCTTCTTATGAATTTACTATTAACTTACCATTTACCTGTCCAAAAATGATGAAGGGGATATTTGTATAGACTTCTACATTTTACAAAGGGCTTTTATTTATTTTTTCCTTTGACCCAGAAGGTGGGTAAAATTGGTGAACTTGCTCTCCAAAATGCATGCTCTAAAGCTTGTTAACTCTGATGGTCAGAGATGACACCCAGTCAGTGCCTCCTTACCTCATAGCAATGCTAAAGGGCAGGTGACTCTGTCAGTACCTGGGGAGAAGGGGCAGATTGGCTTAGAGTCTGAGTCCACTATGAATGAACACTGCCTCCACCATCTACCTGGGGTGAAACTTTAGGCAAAGTATTTCAGCCTCAATTTACTCATTATATAGGTATAATATGTAACTCATAGAATTAGGATTAAAAAGATTAAATATATTATGACAAGTCTAGTGCTTAGCCTAAAGCTGGTTCTCAGAAAATGGTTGCTTTGTTAGTAGCAGTTCTATGAATTGCTTATCTGAAGTCCTATTAGAATCTGCAAATGGAAGGGATAGAGAGGAGTTATAAATTAGAAATGACAATTGACACTAGGGACAAAGTACACAATGTCAAATTGAAGTTGTATAACCATGGAGGCCAGGAGCCCTGTCCAGCCCACAGCCCCTCCACCAGCCCCCAGCCTGAAGAATGTTTCTCACTGGAGGAGTTCAGGGAGCTTTGCACCACATTTTGGTTATGATACCAGTTAATGTGCAAACCATTAGGAAAATCAGTGCTAACCACCATTGAAAAGTCATCCTTTTTTCCTCTCTTCATCAGGTAACTTTTCCCCTGTAAATGCAAAATAGGTTTTTAGGGAGTCTCTGGAATTATTTTACAACAGGAATGCCATCTGGTGGAAAAAGATCCGGGACTAAATTCCTGCACTGTCACAGCTTTGAAACCAGAACACAGCACCTGGTTGTATGGAACCTCCATTTTCTCATGTGTAAAACAGGACTTCCTATGTTACAAGATGTTTAGATGTAGAAAGCCTCTGTCCAGTATGTGGGATAGAATCTCAAAATATATTTTCTTACTTTTATCACTTGATGAGTACAGATAAAACAAAAAAACTTATTCATCCAAAATATATATTTTTCAAATGCTAGGGTTTTAGGTGTGTGTGTGGGTTGAGGGGCGATATAATGTTGGTGTTAACTTTTAAGTGATCACAGCTGCTACCTAATCCCATTTTAGCAAGTCAGGATCTGGTTTAGCATTTTTCATATAGTACATTCCCCAAGTAGTGATTGAAGGACTTCTAAGCATAAACACCATGCAATTATGAAATCAGAGATTTCCTCCAGCTTATTTGTCAAAAGAAAATCTTTTCGCCTTTGACGTGAGACTCTGGGAGTGTGGTGAGGTTGGCTTAGCGTGCAGGGCATAGGGAGCATAGCAGTTGGAGAAGAAAGCAGGTTGGGCTAGAAGGGAAAAATTGTTCCTCTTTTACTAAAATAAAATACATAAATGAATCACCACAGTGGCAATAATTCATAAAATGGAGTACACATGGAAAAATGTGTGTGGGAAGACAGAGGAAAGGGATAATTTTTGATGTGATAACATTCATTTTACAACCAAAGTGTGTGTGTGGGGGGGTGGGGTGGGGGGGGCAGGGTGTTTAAGTTTTAAGGAGAGGGAGAGTTACAGGAATAGGTGATACTATTTAAAATGAGTATTAATCATTCAAAACAAAAACATGCTCATCTTACCACATACCGCTCAGGTTTCTTCTGAAGAAGCCTTGGCTATTAAATACGTAAATCCTACCTGTGCCTTAAATCTGAGCCCCAAACGTTAGCATGGCAGTCTCTCAAAATTTGCAGCTGTTAGACCAGTTAAACCTGTATCGCCTGACTCTAGACTCATAGGAGGCTGTTGACTTCTCTAAAGCTGTGCTCAACCAGTTGAGAGATTAATTTACCTACAGGGTGAAGTCGATGAAGCTTGTTTTTCTTAAAACCTTTGACCTGGCAGTGATCCCAAGTGTCATTTGGTTTCTGCTTCCGGAAGGGAAGGGCTACAATGATACCATTCTACAGTGTTCATTGGTTTTCCTGTCAATCTACACGTCCTCAGAATGCGATTCCTTAGGCTTCTGTAGTGAAAGGGTATTGCATGTTTCACAGCCTGTGTGGGGGCCCACTCCTGCTTTGGTTCATGTAGTTAATCCTTCCCCAGCTAACACTGCATTTTCCCTCCTCGGCCATGTTGTGTCACTTACCCTGCTTAGCCAGGGACAGACTGCAGCTTCTCATTTGCTTTCAAGGCTGTGGACAGCCGCCACCTGTCTCAACACTTTTTATCATCAGATGCTATTCTGTAGTCCCGCCTTCCACACTATACTTGATTGCTTCTGAGTGCTTGTCTTTCCTACAACTGGACCCATGTCCTCTCTCAAATGCAAAAACACAGGGGAAATATTTGTGTTCTGAATATTTTAGATTTTTAAAAGGTGCTAATCATGTGGATAACATTATGCTAGACACGGAGAAAATTACAAAGTAAGAAAAAACAGAAATCTAGCCAGAGAAGAAGAGTGTGAAGAGAAAGTTGTTCAGGAAACAATCTCATATGATAGAGGGTCTTAAATCCATGACTGAAATACTTGAACTTTACCACTGGGAGTAGGTATATGGGAGATACTGGAGGCAACAGGTTGGAAGAACAAAGAAACACATCGATACAGCACTACTGTGCAGAAGATTGGGAAGAGGTAAAAGGTTACATAGAAAGGTTGTTAGGAAGGTGGTATAGTAATCCCCTTGGGAGTCAATTATATTTAAGACATTTTATAAAGTAAATTAGGAGAAATTTTTTTTATTATGAAAGCAATAACGGTTTGAGAGAATGTGGAAATTTCTAAAACATAAAGGAAGAAATATGTCACCCATAACCTTACAATCTAAAGATAATTATTGATATTTTATTACTTTTCTATGGACATAACTGAGACCATATACATGGAGTTTAATACTCTTTTTAAAACTTAGCATAAATATTTGCCTGCATTACTATTATATGAAATACAATCTATAAGTAGTCACTAAGTCTACCAAATGGATGGTCCATAATCTGATAGCATTGCTGCCTTCGTTGGATATCCAGATTATTTCTAGTTTTAGCTATCAGTAGTCAAAGTGCAATAGTTATCCTTTCTCTAATATCTCCACTTCCCTAATCATTTGCTTAGCATATATTCAGAGGGCAAGTTCCTTTTCAGGTTCTTGATCTTCCATAGAGACATTTGCTCCTCTTACACAAGCAGTGTGTGGCACTGAGAATACTCATTATTAAATAATTGCGAATTTGATAGACAAAAAAGGTTATCCTTTGCGATAAGCACTACTTTGCCAGTTAACTATTAACATGGTTGAACGTTTCACTTAACAATTACAGTTTGAGGCGGGAGGATCACTTGAAGCCAGGAGTTTGAGACCAGCCTGGCCAACATGGTGAAACCCCATGTCTACCAAAAACACACAAAAAGCAAAAAACAAAAATTAACTGGGCATGATGGCGCATGTCTGTAATCCCAGCCACGTGGGAGGCTGAGGCAGCCGAGGCTATTGGCTTCATCTGTGTTATTTTGGAATTTACAAACTGTTTCCTCCTTTGCGATTCTGTACTAGCTGTTTCCTACTTTGGGGAGAGCCCTTCTCCCAGACCTCCACGTGCTGGACTCCTTGCCTTGACACGGGCCTCTGCTGCACCACAGACCCTTCTGAAGGGAGGACTTCCCCAACACCATCTCCATCACGTCATCATAATTGCTTTCAGGGTTCTCACCAACCTGAAATCATCCTTCAAAAGTTTCTATTTATTTGACACTAGAATGACTGTAAACTCTAAGAGGGTCTGTCTTCTGTACAGCTGTATTTCCAGCACTCAGAATATCACCTGGAACATAGTGGGAACTGTATAAATATTTGATGAGGGACTGAGCGAACTAATGAATGGAGCTCAAGGGAGAGATTAAGCCCAGTACTGCAGGAAACTAAGTGCTTTAAGGACCTCTCTCTAGTCTCCCTGGCTGCTTCTTCCATTTCTGGAAGTTCAGTTTATCCCAACAATAGCAGTCTACTACAGAAATGCTGCTATATATTCCCAAGCCTCATGGAGCGGAAATATGAGAACTTAAGGGCCTGAAAAGTATAAAGATCTTGGTGGAGCCCGAAACCCCCACCCCAACCTAATACTGAGTTTTGGAAAGTTTAATTGTTGCTTGTGAATATATTTCTGTTTCATTCTCATTGGGAAACCTTATCTGTGGGTTATGGCCAATGGGAAATCATCAGACATTTAGACATCAGACATCAGGCATCATGTAAAATACACATTTGTATATGAAATCTTTAATCCAAATTGTTGCCCGGCTACCCTTCTGAGTAGCCGTCATATCCTAGTCTGAGGGCCAAATAGATTGAAGGTAAAATTCAACCAAGCAGAATTCTGTAATGCCTTCTTCACACACAGATTTGTTGCTTTTTGTCTGCTCTCAGAATGAAGTAATGAATCTCTAGAGGAAGTTGATTTACTTCATTAAAAAAAAAAAACTGAAAATATATTTCCTATGGCCACTGACTAATGCCAGAAAACATTAAGAATATTCCCCATTGCAAAAATATCTGCAAGTGGGAGAGAATTAGACAAGCAGGGGGATGGTGATAAGCATCTATTACATATTATACACCCTGTTATGGAGGCTTTACCACTGCCATCTCTGAAAAATGGGCTTTACCTCCCTATCTAAACATATATAAAATAAAATCACAGGATAGCTTTTACATGAGAGCAACACAACTGGCAAAATTTAAAAGTCTGACATTACCAAATATTGGTAAGAACATGAAGCAATGAAATTATTTTCCTCTAAAGGATATAGTTATGGCAAAAAATTGGGGCTTTTCTAATACAATTGAGGATATACCTACCCAAGAATTCTGCAATTCCGTTCACTAAACGACCCCTGAAATACTCGCACAGAAGGACATTACCAGGAATCTTAGGAGCAGCAATGTTTATAAGAGCAAAACATACATTTGGTAAAACTTAAATGTTCGAAGGAGATGAATACATTTAAGGTTTTTTTTTTCAAGGTAATTGAGAATCTGCAGTAAATGTTATGGTTTCCTGTTATTTTTAATTGCTAAGTTTACAATGCCTGGAATCAGTTCTGCCTTCAAAGCCAAGTGTTCATTTTCCATGTATCAGGAAACCCATTTGGCACAGAGACCATCCCAGGAAGTTAAGTTTCAGATTCACAGAATCAGTAGCAAAGTGCAATGTCAGAAGTGTCCAGTGAGAGGCACTGCAGGGGACTGGGATGACCTGTCTTAACTTCATACATTCTAGGGCAACTATACCCATTAGACTTGGCATATAGTCCTCAGGCTAAGAAAGAAGATAGGACACAAATGCATCTATTCATAAAGTGAAAATGAAAAAAGATAGCGTAAAAAAAAAGATTTAGAAATAACTTTCAACACTGCTTATAGCAATAGTTCTGAATGCAAATCATATGACTTTTATAAAAATAGTAACACCTTTGTTTTGTTTTGGATGAGGACATAAACCCTGAAGAATATACATATATAGAGGAACCTCGTTTACTGCTGATGGTAGGGGAAATAAATAATAATCTCTATTTATAGCTTAAGAAAGAGGTCCTCAAAGAGTGGGAGCCGTATGGGTCCCTGACAGATCCTTCAAAAAGATCTGTGAAATCAAAACTATGTTCATCATGATATTAAGACCTATTCCTTTTTTATTCTCATTCTCTCATTAGTGTATGGTAGACCTTTTCAGAAACTATATGACATATTCTATCATGAGACTGATTGCAGAAGCAAATATGAGAATCCAGTCATCTTCTAGTAAGCCAGACATCAAAGAGATCTGCATCTATGTAGAACAATGTTACTTTTCTCAATAAGCCTGTTTTAGAAAGTAGTTACTTTTCATAAATTGTATGATATTTGTGTTAATACGTAATGGGTTGTTACTTAAATAAGAAAGTAAAAATTTAAAAATTCTCACTTTAATTTCTAACATAGTAATATTGACAGGCATAACCTACATAGACAAAAGCACGTTGGAATCATCAATACTTTTTAAGAGCCTAGAAATCTGCAAACCACTGACCTTCAGCTCATCACAGGAAGTTTTGCTATTAGCACAATTATTGCATCTTTGCTCCTTTGGTTGCTTTTGTCTCACTGTCTCTGATCTTTCAAAGACCATCTGGAAGAGCTTGGCTAGTCATCTATTGAATGGAGATTACATTTTGAATCTCTTCCTACATCTCAGTGCCCTGTGGGACGACTCTGGGGTGTCTCCAGATGGCTAGGGCAACAGGTCCCTGTTGCCATCACCTTATGGGGAAGTTTTAGACAGGAACAGTCTTCAGGCTCTGAAGTACTTGAAGAACACCATGGGATGCCTGCCTTACAGAAGTTAATGAGCATGATTCAGGCAGATTCATAATTCTCCATAGAAGCCATTTGGGATGCCTTCCACTTTGGGGTCCTTCCACATAGACCAATGCAGAGCATGCAGTAACTGCTCAAATGGGATTTGGAAAGGAACGAACAGTTCATTTAGACGTTCAACTTGGAATAGACTTAAGCAGACACTCCTGGCGATGAAGGCCTTAGATGCCAGAAAATCAGGCTCAGAGACTTTCAAGCCACTTCCTAGAGTGATGTCACATTCCTTTCTACGCTCCACTGGGGAAGGCAGGTCTGCCCCGCCCACGGTGGCGGGGAAATACCTAGGCATGGAAGTGGCATGACAGGGCTCAGGTCCCTGTCATATTTTTCACTCTCCACGAGGTCCTGCACGCTTCAATCCTGCAGGCAGGTAGACACCGGGCCGGGAGTCTGGCTGAGCCAGGCATGGGTGGGGCCCTGACAGTAGGAGAGGTGTGCAGGAAAAGACGTGGCAACAATGTGTGCCACCGCAGGCCAGGGATCAGGTCCCACAGGCGGGCCTCCGACCGCCTAGGTGACCATGGGGGAGACGACTCCCTCTCTGGGTCGAGGTGTGGAGCTCGCGGCTACTCTCAGCTCCAGCGGCTGCTCTCAGCTCCAGCGGCTCCCTGCCTTCCTTTCTGCTTTCCCGCCGGCCCCTGCCAGGTAGGCCTGCTCTGGTTGCTCCCAAGTAAGCCGGTGTTTGGGGTTTCCGTTTAGACCGCGGATCCCGAGGACAAGGGCGCGCAGGGGAGGAGGCTCCGTGCGACGCGGGCAGGGATGGGGTCCCACATCCGGGACCCAGGCCGCGGGCTGCGCTGGGGGGCGCCCTGGCCCTCGCGGGAGCTCTGGACGCGAGCCCGCTTCGCTGTCAGGGGGCGGAAGCGGCTCCCACGCGGGCCGCAGCGCCGCCGCCGCCCACTCTTCGCCCATCCTCCTCCGCGGCGGGGCGAGGTCCCTGCCTTGGATCCTAAAGGTCGGGCGCGCAGACGAAGGAGACGGGGGACGGGCAGTCTATGGGGAAACGTGGGGCCAAAGTCAGAGGGCTCCCCAGGAAGAAGGGAAGGTCAGCGGCCTGGGCGGTTGTCTTTGAGATTCCGAGGTCGCCCACGCCGGCGCCTCGGGCCCGCCCCACAGCGGCCTTTCTTCCCACCCTCTTCTCCCTTCCTTGCAGCCCGGTTTGGGGATGTGGTCCTTGCTGCTCTGCGGGTTGTCCATCGCCCTTCCACTGTCTGTCACAGCAGGTACGTCCCGTCCCGTGTGTCCTCAGTTCCCAGAGGCCGCCCTAGTCCACAGGCTGCTGGCCTCTCACTGGGAGCCGCAGGGGATCGCGCCAGCTGGGCTGCTTACGCTCCCAAGACCGCGAAGAGGAAACAGAGCCAGCTCCACGTGCTGGGATGCTCAGCCCTGAATGTCACCTTTGAGCTTGGAGGTGACTTCGGGGAGGGGAAGGAGTTAGGCAAATTGCAAGTGAAGACTTGAGTAAAAATGCTCAAATGGAGTTACTACTGCCTATTTTATATGATAAAGGGTTATTTTATGACAAGATGAAAGCAAGGACGCCATCAATAGAACAAATTTCTTCTAAGAAATTTGGTAGAAATGAGCTTTAAGAATGAACCAACTTTTTTTTTGTTGTTGTTTTGTTTTTTTAACAATCGTTTTGGGATTAAATACCTTTTACTCAAGGCAGAGTAAGTGGGTGGCAGAGCAGAAACAGAAAAGACAAGAAGGGCTTCTTTACTCTAGATGAATGAGTGCAGAGTAAAGAACTCTGTGGATGAAAAGAACTAAGGGTCGTAGAATAGAAAGGAAAGAGGGAAATCACTCCCAATGGGGAAGAGGTTAGTGAGGAGGGAACGGAGTAAATTCTGTCTTATGGATACATTTGAAGAACTTGGAATATACTTTATAATCAGCATTCTATTTTTAGAAAACTTTCAGACTCAGAAAATTCCCAAATAAAATTTCAAATTGGCTGGAAAATTGAAGAGGCATTTTAAAAAACGAACAGTAAATAGAACTAAAGTTTTCTTTCACGGATAATTGTTTTGTTTTTCTTTCCCTAGATGGATGCAACGACATTTTTATGAAAAATGAGATGCTTTCAGCAAGCCAGCCTTTTGCTTTTAATTGTACATTCCCTCCCATAACATCTGGGGAAGTCAGTGTAACATGGTATAAAAATTCTAGCAAAATCCCAGTGTCCAAAATCATACAGTCTAGAATTCACCAGGACGAAACTTGGATTTTGTTTCTCCCTATGGAATGGGGGGACTCAGGAGTCTACCAATGTATTATAAAGTAAGTTCCTCATTTAAAATAGAACTAACTCATGTGTGTGTATGTATAAATTCTTTAAGGAAAATTCTTAACATAGAGAACTCATTGAGAAGAATTACTTTGTTGTATGTTTTTATAATTGTTACAAGACAGTTTCCAGTGAACACATTTTTAAACAGATTTGTAAATCATTTTTGGAATCTGATATGCATCTTTCCCCATGGAAATGGCACCTCAGACCAGACCCACTCACAAAGTGTGTCTGTCCCAATATTATTGCTGCCATCTTTCTTTCTTGTTTTCTTTTTCTTTTTCTTTTTTTTTAGTTTCTGAGACGAAGTCTCACTCTGTCACCAGGCTGGAATGCAGTGGCGTGATCTCGGCTCATTGCAACCTCCGCCTCCTGGGTTCAAGCGATTCTTTTGCCTCAGCCTCCCAGGTAGCTGGGACTATGGTGTGTGCCACCACGGCTGGCTAAATTTTTGTATTTTTAGTAGAGACAGGGTTTCACCGTGTTAGCTAGGATGATCTCGATCTACTGAACTCCTGATCCACCCGTCTTGGCCTCCCAAAGTGCTGAGATTGCAGGCCTAAGCCACCTAGCCTGGCCACTGCCATCTTTCTTGAAGTGCCAAAAGCTTTTGTGGGAAATGGCACATCCAGATAGGAATAAGCCTCCTATGAGCCCTTTTCACAAGGAATTTGCTTAAGGCAGGGAGTAAGCATCGAGCATGTTCCAGACCTCACTGGAGAACCTGTGCTAAGAAACATGAATGAGTAACACAGGTCTGGTGGTGACTGCCCCTCAAAGGTAGCTGTCTATTAGGATCAAGCCCATCCTCTCACTTTTCAAGGGAATCTGGAAATTGGAATTTGTGTGTGTGACTTTTTATAATTTGTAAAGCTTTGTTGGGCCTGAATAAAACACATCTGTAGACCAAATTTAGTTTGAGGGTCACAATTTTGTGACTCTCCCACACTGGCTTGCATGACCTTAACAAATTACTTGATCTCTCTGAGCCTTGGTTTTTTTCTGTAAAATGGAATTAATGCTGGCCCGATAGGGTTCAGGTGCAAATTAACTGAGACCAGGTGTGAAGTAGGTACTCCATTCTCTCTCTCTCGTTTTGATTCCGTGATATTTGCCGGCCCCTTTCTGTGTCCCAGCATGGCCCATGTCCCACTCTGATTTCTGCCAGATTCCTCATTTCTATCCACCAGACAGACAAAATGCACAAAATCGAGTGGTTCACAAGTGGAAGTGGTTGTTAGCTCTGCCTGGCTCCTTTCCACAGGTTTAGTCGCTAATAAACCACTCAGAGCATGTGGAGGTCTGCTTTCTTATCTTAGCCTAGGCTGTGAATTATTAACTAGACTTGAAGATCATACATCACATAAATGAATCTGGATGTCGAAGCTAGATTTAAACTATTTAAATCTGGGAGCTGTGAAATGAGGAAAAATAATCTTTAATAGAAATTAGACAAGGATATCTGCCATGAAAGAAAATGAACGTGAATTCTCCAAGACTTTTACTACCAACATCCAGATAGGATACGTATTTAGGAAACTGTATATTTTTACTTTTTGCTTTGAAATAATTTTAAATTTAAATAAATTTTGCAGGAATAGTATCAAGAACTTCCTTCTACCCTTTATCTAGATTATCTAGATTCCTCATTTTTAAGAATATATTTTTACATTTATCTTATAATTTTCTCTTTCACCATATATATGATATAAATTATAAGCAGTATTTTTCTCCTAAGCCGTTTTTAAACCATTTCAGTTGTATGCATCATATCCTCTTAGCTCTTAATATTTCCATGTATATTTCCTATCAACAGTGTATATTTCCTATTTCCTTTCAATGTGTATCTGTTTATTTCTTACATAATGACAGTATAGTTATCAAATTCAGGAAACGTAACCATCATATAATACCTTAATCTATAATCTATATTCTAATCTTATCAGTGGTCTCATTGAAGACCTTTTATAATTTTTTTCTTTCTTTTCCAGTACAGTTACCAATCTAGGATCATGCATCACATTTGGTTGCCATGAATATGTAACTTATTTTAATCTGAAACGGTTCCTCAGTCTTTGTTTTTCATGATACCATCATTTTTAAGGACTATAGGCAATTATTTTGTATTATCTCCTTCATTGGTGTTTGTCAGGTATTTCTTCACGATTAGGTTCAGCCGTTTTGGCTGGAATGCTAGGTGAGTGCTTTGTGTCCTCTTCAGAAAGTTACTCAGAGGCACATGGCGTCCACTTGCCCCCAGTTGGTGACGTCCATTTTGATCACTCAGTTAAGGTGTTGTCCAGTTTCTCCACTGTATGAATACCATTTGTCCTTTCGTGATGAATGATTTGGGGGGTGCTTACTGCTTTGTTAGAGGCAGAGGGTTTGCGTGGTGCTGTGAAAATGATTTGAAAACATTTGAAAATGAGCTGAATTATTTGATTTTGTGATTTTTTAGAAGAGTTTATGAGGTCTCAATCTGTCTTACAGGGGTAGAGACAGCTGTCATAGAATACATGTAAACCTAACTGTTTTTGAAAAACAATGGTGTGACACTTCCGTAAAAGGTTTACCGAATTTATCAGATGAGTACAAGCAAATATTACATCTTGGAAAAGATGATAGTCTCACATGTCATCTGCACTTCCCGAAGAGTTGTATTTTGGGTCCAATAAAGTGGTATAAGGTAAAAAAAAAAATTTCTTATTGATATTGTTCCTCCTTTTCTTTAAAACCCACTGTTTTTTATAGGTTAAGTTGTATTTTTAAAGGCAGAATTGGTAAAGAAATTTGTGTTCCTAAGATAGATTAGTTAGCTAGCAGTCATTGATATTGTCACCTTCCTAATTACTGTTTTAAAAAATATTTTGGTTATTGTATCTTTGTAATATTTTATTATTTGGATCCATCACCTTCCTCCAGTCATTCTTGTTTTTCAGGCTGTTCTTTATTTTCTAACATTAATTATGTTTGTTTAAATACATACTACGTGCGCATGGTTCAATAATCACAAATCGTAAGAGGTCACTCCCTGGAAAACCTCTTTCCTGTTACCGTTCCGTATTTGCTCTGGGCTCATCACACCTTCCTCGACATGTGGCTACCATGATTAGTGCCCTGTGATTATTCTTGTATAATGCTATACTAGCAAATAAAAATACATAGTCTAACTCTTCCTAGCCCTTCTTTTTCAAGCTCATGTTTCTGCACTTTATGTTTTCATCTTCGAAATTTCTCTTTTCTTGATGATCCTGGCATATGTTGACATAGAAAGTAACCCTTAGCGTGGAGGAGCACAGGCTATAGTTATTTGAGATTGGAATTAGTTTTTCCTGCTTGTTAACTCTTGCCAGCACACCCCTCCGGGTCATGAGTTTTCTTTATGGGAAGGTTTTCATCTATTGATTCAATTTCTTTAATGGTGAAAGGATTACACAAATTTCTTACTTTCTCTTGTGTGAGTTTGGTAAGATTTTGTGTCTTAGGAAGTTTCTCGTTTCATTAAAGGTCTCGTATATTCTGGAAAATTGTTTATCAGCTCTTCTCTTTTAATGTCTGCAGACATTAAAACCTTCAAAGTAAGGTTCACCTTTAGTCATTATTCATTCTCTTTCTTACACACACATGCGCGCACACACACATGCTTACTTGATTAGTTTCATCAGAGACTTGTCAGTTCTAGTACTCTTTGCAAAAACTAACTTTTGGTTTTGTCTATCCTTTCTGTTACATATTTCATGTTCATTTAGTTTGTTTAGTTGCCCTCTTTCACAAGAAATGTGGAAGTGAATGTCCTTATACCTGTCCTTTAAGCATATTTGCTAGTGCGTGCAGTTCTCTAAGATACATGATTGCTAGCCCTAGTATTGCTCATTTGTAGGGCATGCAGATGAACAAAGTATTCAACTTTGTTGATGTTGCAAAAATTGCTTTACCGAATTTTGTATCCGTTTTGCCAGCAGTATTTTATTTTATTTTATGACAGAGTCTCACTCTGTTGCCCAGGCTGGAGCGCAGTGGTGTGATCATGGCTCACTGCAGCCTAACTCCTGGGCTCATGTGGAAGCCCAGGTAATTTTTAAAATTTTTTTGTGGTGACAGAATCTTGCTGTGATGCCCAGACTGGTCTCAAACTCCGGGCCTCAAGTGATCCTCCTGCCTTGGCCTCCCAAAGTGGTGAGATTATAGGCATGAACCACCATGCCTGGCTCACCAGGAGTATTCTAGATTTCCTACAACCTTGTGTTGAACTTTGTGTTATAAGACTGATTTTTAAAATCAATCTGGTGAGTATAAAATGTACCTTTTTGCTATTTTATTTTGCTTTTCCTTAATTATTAGTGAGATTAACCACTTTTTTTCATATGTTTATTAGCCATTTCTGGATCCTCTTCTGAACTGCCCACTCATATCTTTTGGTATATTTCTTATTTTACTTTTCATGCCATTTTCTTGTGACTTATAGGAGATTTTGTATATTTATATATCCTGGGTATGTTTGTTTGCAATGCCTTAAAAAAAACCTTTCCATTGAAGTTTGACATATACATATAAAATGCAGAAATCATAAGTGAACAATCTTGTAGGATTATCAGAAAGGGAACATACCTTTTAATTACCCTTTCCCACGAAGGTTAAGAAAACATTACTAGCACCTCTGAAGGCCCACCTCTTCCATCTTGCAAAACCTGTGCCTCCCTAGTCCCCAAATAACCACTTCCCTGATTTATACTATCGTAGATTAGATTTACCAATTTTTGAATTTTATTAATTTGAATAAAATCGTATGTAGTACTTATGTCTAGCTTCCTTGGCTCAATAGCGAACCAGTGAGAATCATCCATGCTATTGCATGTGGCTATATTTCATCCATTTTCATTGCTTATACTATTTCACTGTTATTATTGTTAGACTCTTGAGTCATTTCCAATTTCTGGGTCTTAGAAACAAAGCTGGTATGAACACTTTTCTCACTTATGAATGCAATTTTGTGGGACATATTACACGAGAGTGAAATAGTTGGGTCATAAGGGTATGTAGAAAATGCCAAACCATTTTCCAAATTGGTGCCAATTTACAGTTCCAGCAGCAGTGTATAAGAGTTATTTATGCCCCTATATCTGACAACACATGGTACTGTTAAACCTTTTTAATTTGCTGTTTGGATAAGTGAGTAATTGTGTCTCATTTCAGCCTTAATTAACACTTCCCTGATTATAACTGATAATGTTGATCATCTTTAAATTTTCTTCTTGGCACTTGGATGTGTGTGTGTGTGTAATTTTTTTTTCTTTGAGTGCTTGTGAAATTTTTTTTTTCAGATAAGCTCTTGCTCTGTTGCCCAGGCTGGAGTGCAGTAGTGCAATCATAGCTCACTGTAACCTTGAACCCCTTAGCTCAAGTGACCCTTCCGCCTCAGCCTCTTGAGTGGCTGCGGGTTACCTTGTCCAGGAGGGATCTCTATTTTTTTTTTTTCTGTAAAAAACCAAATAATAAATATTTTAGGCATTGTAGGCCAGATGATCTCTGTTTCAACCACTCAACTCTGTTCTGGAAGCACAAAAACAGTTGTAGACAATATAGAAAAGAAGGAGTGTGGTTGCGTTTCAACAACATTTTATTTACAAAAACAGGTGGTTAGCCACATTTGGCCAGTGTGTGGTTTGCTAGCCTCTTGTCTATTTCTCATTGATTTGTAGTAGCTCTTTATAGATCTGGATATGAGTAATTGTTACAATGTGCCCTTCTAAGCAATGGCTAGCTTTTCAACTCCGGCAACGAGGTCTCAGACTTCCTAGTGTTAATGCAGTCTAATGTACTGATTTCCCTTTGTGATTAGTACTTTCTGTGACTTAAGAATCTTTTTCCCACCCCAAGGTAAAAGGACCTTTTCCTATATTTTCTTCTTGAAGTTTCATTGTTTTTCTTTTTCCACTGATTTTTAAGTGTGTAGTGTTGGTAGGGTCAAATGTAATTATTTTCTGTGTGGACTTATGGTTTACCTGTTCTTTTCATGTTGCTTTGCATGCCACCTCTGACTTAAATCATATTGGTCTTTGTGTGTAGATCTGTTTCAG